TCATTGTCCCCTCCATGACTGTGGTCACCCCCGTGGTCATTGTCCCCAGATGGTCTTCCCAGGGTTGCTGTCCCCTCCAGGCCCGTGGTCCCCCCGTGTCCATGGTCCCCGTGGTGGTGGCCGTACCTCACGGAAGGCGATCTTCAGCTCCCTCACGCCCACCATATGGGCCGTCTCCTCCCTCAGCTTCGGCCCCATCATCTGCACAAAGTCCTCAAAGTCCACGCGGCCACCCACTGCGTGCCAGACAGGGACAAGCTGAGCGCCCCACGTCCCCTGCCCTGTCCCCTGCCCCACGGCCACCAGCCCCACGCTCACTCCTCATCTTGACGTGCTGGGAGATCTCGATGAGCTCCATCTCGGTGGGCATGTAGCCCAGGGTGCGCATGCAGGAGCCCAGGTCCTTGTAGCTGATGTACCCGTCCTGGTCCGTGTCGAACTCCTTGAAGGCGTCCAGCAGCTCTGTCCCACCACACGGACCCCTCAGCTGGGGGGTTCTCCAGGGACAACGGCCCATGGCTGGTGTCCCCATGGCACGTGTGTCCCCCCCACCCCCATCTCGGTGGGCATGTAGCCCAGGGTGCGCATGCAGGAGCCCAGGTCCTTGTAGCTGATGTACCCGTCCTGGTCCGTGTCGAACTCCTTGAAGGCGTCCAGCAGCTCTGTCCCACCACACGGACCCCTCAGCTGGGGGGTTCTCCAGGGACAACGGCCCATGGCTGGTGTCCCCATGGCACGTGTGTCCCCCCCACCCATAGCAGATTCCCCCATGACAATGTGTCCCCATGGCAGATCCCTCCATGACAGATCTCTCCATGACAACATCTCCCCATGGCACATGTCCCCATGGCAGATCCCACCATGATGATGTCCCCATGGCATGTGTCCCCATGACAGATTCCCCCATGACAACATGTCCCCATGGCACTGAACCCCATGGCAGATCCCTCCATGATGATGTCCCCATGGCATGTGTCCCCATGACAGATTCCCCCATGACAACATGTCCCCATGGCACTGAACCCCATGGCAGATCCCTCCATGATGATGTCCCCATGGCATGTGTCCCCATGACAGATTCCCCCATGACAATATGTCCTCATGGCACTGAACCCCATGGCAGATCCCTCCATGATGATGTCCCCATGGCATGTGTCCCCATGACAGATTCCCCCATGACAA